GCCAGAAGTCTCAATCGAATAGTGTTTGGTTACTTCAGTCTACGATTTGTGTACCAATGGCAAAATGTTTATTTTGTCTTAAATATTGGATATCAAAAACCTATCTTTTCCCGGTAAAATTACAACATCAATGTTGATTCAAATTGACAAATAATTCATGGTTTCAGTGTCGAAAACTTTGGATGATATTGAGTTAGAGACTTAAATACATGTACTTTAATGTCCTCTCGACATATACTCAACCATTATTGTGAAAGTTGTATCTCAAATAGAAATATAAGTCGAACAAATGTTTAAATTCCTTTCAGTATTTACATAGTTGGATTCCATTGATCTATGCTGCTCCCTATCTATGTCATAATCCCGCTGCCATTTTGTTATTCATGAACATAATTTAAATCGAATTGAATTCAAACTGCGAAATTAACTAGCGTTAGCATTTTTATTTCCTTTTCTTAACTAAATGTTAAATAAACAATCTGAGCGCATATTAGCATGGATTAAGCAATGAGAAATTTACTATTTTAGTGAAAAATGCAAAAGACGCGATGGGACTTTAAGTACTGAACCAGGATTCAGTCAAGAAATGAACAAGTCTCATATAACACGGGGGTTAGGTGTGGATTGCCGAATGGTTAGCATTGAATCAACTGGCGTGGTTTCGATTCGCAGGGATACCTGACAAGGAGTGGGGTCGCCTGTCAAATCTTGTGGATTTTCTCCGGGTCCTCTGGTTTCCTCCCACTGCTAATTAATGAAATGAAATTGAACCATATGTTAGTCTCGAAATGACCTAGTTTGTGTTGAGTGGATGTTAAACCCCATTTCTCTATCTCATAAAGGACACATGTGTTACATCAACAGAAACTGTGACATTAAAAAAGCAGTTTGGTAATCAAGCCCAATATTTAACAAATAAATTGCGACAATCAAGCGTAATTTCATTCCTTAGATCACCAGATATGAAACACGGCTAGTGGTCCCTGGGTAATTACTAATGCTAATTTCGTGCAAGACTCGTAGACTTCACCTAACGCTATAATTTAAAATGATAGTATCAAATTAGAAAAAATCTCGAAATTGCTCAGACTTGCGGGCATCTTTCGCTATTAATTGCAAACGCTAAATTATCTGTTCACAAAATGGTCGCTACTCTACTTGACACCTCAAATTACCAACCACGCAAAAATGTCCGCAAAACATAACTGTTTATTGATTTTTTTCACCCGTATTACAATTTGTCTAGGTCCACACAATTCAATAACTCGTTTTGGAACTTTTCCAGAAACTCTGCCAAAAAAAAAAATTTCTTGGCTAAAAATGTTAAAGGTTACGATGGGGTTGAGACATGTCAAGTGGTCTGTGTAAAATGTTCCTTTTGTATCTGGAACTATGACAGGCTTTCAAAACAATGAAAACTTGTAAGCCTAAAAAAATAGACTTCCGACAGAATCAGAATAAAATTGTATTTGATTTATTTTGTAGACATTTCTTCGTGTGACAAAAAAACAGAATAACAAAATGCGAACACAAAATTTAATCAGAAATGACTGGCAAAAAATTATGTAGTCGATTAATTAAATTTCTCTGCATGTATTTTCTGGAATTTAATGGACAGTTTCTGTTAGTGAAATAATTTAAAAGAATGCTATTTTTCTTATGATTAATGGTTTCCCCTTGTCAGTGGTGCAGAACGGAGGGCCTGGCAAGGACAGCTGTCTAGTCCTTCGGATGAAACGAAAAAACGAGGTCCCGTGTATATATTGGAATGCACGTAAAAGATCCCCTGGCAGTTGGAATTCGATATACAAGTAGGCGATAGTGCCGCTGTCCGGGCAAAATTTCCCTCATAGCACACTGTATGGTGTATGTCCGTCTTCATTAGCTCAGTATAGGAGCAGAACAGTAGTAGGACGTTAAACCCCATTTCATTTCATTTCTTATGATTAATATATGGTAATTAAGTAAGAAAATAGAGTGGGTGGAAGAGAGAGAGAAATGGGGTTTAACCTCCACTCGACACAAACTAGGTCATTTCGGGGCTAACATTTGGTTTAATTTTATTTCAATAATTCACTTGCGCGTAGGGGTCTTTAGCAGTGGGAGGAAACCGGAGAAATCCACAAGGTTGGACAGGCGACCCTACTCCTTATCACATTCAACTGAGGAATCGAAACCACGCCAGTTGACTCAATGACAGACCTTATCATATAACGCTCACACATTAACCATTCAACCATTCAACCCCCCAGTTGTAGTAAAGAGATAGTACATGTACATGTACCTGAGATATTCAACTATATGACAGACATGTACATGTTTTAAATATCAAATATTTCTGATAAAAATAAATAAATCATTGCCAGACATGTACCTATTATACATGTAACTATTCAAAAAACCTGATAAAAAGCAAATCATTGTCCGACATGTACCCATTATAACTATTAAAATAAACCTGATAAAAAAACAAAATCAGTGTGGGACAAAATAACTAGTCATGAGAGAGAGGAAATGAAATGAAATAGGGTTTTAACGTCCGACTGTTCTGCTCCGAACTGGGCTAATGCGAGAGAGAGAGAGAGAAATTGGGTTTGACGTTCACTCGACACAAACTAGGTCATTTTGATTTTATTTCAATAATTCGCTTGCGCGTAGGGGTCTTTAGCAGTGGGAGGAAACCGGAGGACACTGAGAAAACCCACGAGGTTGGACAGGCGACCCTACTCCTTGTCACGTACAACCGGGGATTCGAAACCACGCCAGTTGACTCAATGACAGGCTTTATGATACAGTACGTGCGTGCTAACCATTCGGCCATCCAACCCCCCCTGGGCTAATGAAGACGGGCATACGCCATACAGTGTGCTAAAATTGATGGACATTTTGCCCGGACTATGGCCTACTCTTATATCAAATTCCAACTGTCGAGGGATCTTTTATGTGCAAGCCAATGTGTACACAGGACCACGTTTTTTTTCATCCCATCTGAATGACTAGACAGCTGTCCTTGTCACAAAAGAGAGGAACTGTGGCCTGTATTATATATGTACCTCTTCTACTAGTCAATTTTACCTGTTATTATCACACCTGTATTTATTAGCCCAGAGTTTAAAACCAGGTGATATATTAGATGGACAGATCAAGTTTATTTGATGTTTGGTCATATCTGATGACATGATTGATGGGTATATGAAAGAGACACTTGAAAGCAAATAAAAAAGGTGGAGTTAGTCCAGGGTCGTCAAATAAATTCCTTTCCTTTATAACTGACAATTTTACACAATTATATCTTATTATGGTCTACATGTATATCAGTTGTTCCCACATTCTCATGGTTGGTGCTAAATGATAAGGTCAGCTCAATTTTTCATCATAGATCACCATATGTAAACAGGGCTAGCGCTAATCCCAACCCTAACCATAACCCTGGACCTAGCCCCAATGCTTACCCTAACCCTAACCTACAATCATGCGCCCTAACCTTATTTATATCTCAGCGACATTGACTAAAATTCAGCTGGCCTTAACAAATAGATTTATCCCATTTCCCATACATGTATTAGGGGTGTTAGGAATTAGGGGTTTAAGGGATTATAAAGATAGTTAACACATCAATCTAGTAATCTGATATATAAAAAATCCTCGCTGTCAAAGCCTCTTCTACTCTTTTAAGGGAATGTAGTCGTCGTTCCCCCCTCCCCTTTTCTGAAATCTTATAATCCTTAACATTTCCCATACATACAATGTACGTATTAGGGGTTTTAGAAATAAAGGGATTAAGGGATTTTTCATATAAATCTTATAATCCTTAACATGTTAACGTCCATTCAACCGACTGAAAGATGATCAGATTGCTATTCATATTAATGCTACTCATACATCACCTACATGTACTCTTGTCTTCGATATCACTCTTGGTGGAACTGGGCGTAAAAATCAAAGAAGGAACCAATGATCACCTATTGAAATTCACATGAGAGAGAGAGAGAGAGAGAGAGAGAGAGATGGGGTTTAACCTCCACTCGACACAAACTAGGTCATTTCAGGATTAACACATGGTTCGATTTTATTTCAATAATTCACTTGCGCGTAGGAGTTTTTAGCTCTGGGAGGAAACCAAAGGATCCGCAGAAAAACCACGTGGTTGGACAGGCGACCCTACTCCTTGTTAAGTACAAGCGGGAAATTGAAACTACGCCAATTGAATCAATGACAGACCATGTGATTTCACGCACGCGCGTGTTAAACCACTAGACCACACAACCAGAGGTCACAGTGGATCATTTTCGAGTTGCATAATTATATATGCAGACATTCCAAAATTTTGCATTTTTGCCCTAGACATCTACATTACTCAGAACTTAAGGATTGTGAATGAAATAAGAGAAAAAATAAAACCCTATGGAGACTAAAGTAGCAGTGTGTAAATGCTGTGTGAAGAATATAAATTGATGACGTTGTGTACAAACTACAACAAAGATATAATACAATAATTTTATCAGTTATCTCAACATAATCTAAAATTATTCTCACATCGGAAAATTTTCTGCGTGTAAATTACGCAATGTCCGTCAATATTTGTGTTTATTTTTAAAAAAAAGGGTTTAAAATGTGGATTTATGCGTGACTGCGACCTCTGCACCCAACCACGCTGAGAAAGGGTAGAATGTACAGGTAGCATAGTAGGGGTGTAGAATGCGGTGGCAGCATATTGAAGGAATGTGTTTTTTTTATATCAGTATGTTATTCACAGATCTTCTACCATAAACCCCTGTCCAACCTTGTGGGTTTTCTCCGGGTCCTCCGGTTTCCTCTCACTGCTAAAGGCCCCTATGCGCAAGCGAATTATTTATATAAAATTAACCAATATGTTAGTTTCGAAATGACCTAGTTTGTGTCGAGTGGAGGTTAAACCACATTTCTCTATCTCTCTCTCTATCATAACCCTATGTCCACTCCCACAATAATTCAATCACCGAAAATGAATGTTTCCTTACCTGTTAAAGCCACTGTGTTCTGTTGGCGTACGGCATCTGAGAATTTATGCCGATGCATGGTGTTATGATTATTGATGTTTACAACTTTACCATCGTGAAATATCAGATTTGTATTGTTAATATCCATCGTAAAACACGGACCTAAACACCACGATTCACAGTTCCATCAATTTCAAGACAAATTTCAAATTCACTTAACTTGGATGTAACTTTATTTAACAGTCCATCACAAACAAAATATCAATAATTAAAGGAGTTAGATGGAAGAAAATTTCAAATTCACTAAACTTGATTGCATCTAAATGTTCACTTTTACAAACTAAATACCATTAATGAAATGAGCAAATTCACTAAACTTGATTGCATCTACCAGTAGTTGTTCACATAAACTAAATACAATGTACCATTAATTAAATGATTTAATTACAACAAAACTTAAAATCACTAAACTTGAACGGGTCTGTCTGTTCATTTAACTTGCATGCTTTCGTTCTCCAAAGTTGTATGCTTTCGTTCTCATAACTTTAATGCTTCTAGTAACGCTTCTCGCCAGCTAAATACAATTCACTGAATGAGTTATTTCTCTGCAGCCTGAGATTGATCATTTCGAATTAAATAATAAACCACAAATAATTTATCATAACCAATCACAAACAATCAATAAAAAACCTCAAATTACTCATTCGGCTAATTCTGTCGATTTCTCCTAAAGCTAATTCTGCAGATTTCTCCTGAAGCTAAAATAACAATTGCTATTTTAACGGCTTAGTCAACGAAATCCCACGTAACTCTGTTCTGATCGCAAGTCTAGATAGTAGTAGATACATCAATACAATATCACACAATGACCTTTTTGTGTCGAGTGTTTAATAAAACTTCACACAGTCGTTACATTGTTGACATTAAGCCACGCCTACATCATACACCAAACATTACACTACATTGATAATAGTTCAGGCATCAACCGATGTCAATAATATCGTTCTGATGTATGAGGAGTATCAGTCCGACCCTATCCTCGTATGAACTAAGTCTATTCGAGTCTGTATAGATCAACTTATAGATCGACGGTCTGACTGGCAGACACAGGTCAACATGTATTATGTCACCTGGACCTAAACGAGCCTAAAGTCAGTTCCCTTCAACAGGTGATCAAAATCAATTAGCCTTAGGCCAAAACACCCCCAAGACATTTCACAAACCTTTGTTGATTGGTTGAGAGTTTATAAAAGATAATTTGATTGGCTATTTCCAATAGACAGAAGCCCAAATATACATAAATCATGTATACACAGTAGCCAGTGCTAATAAAACTCATGAATTAAGTTAGGAGTATGTTTATACTATTGTATAACATGTAGCTATATACTGCTGTTTAATACATGTATTTATCTATTGTATTTATCTGGGATTATATTTAATATAAACTCTACATAATCATTTAAATAATACACCAGGATGAGAGAGGAGAGAGAGAGAGAGAGAGATTTGGTTTATGGTTTAACATCAGAGAGAAAGAGAGAGAGAGAGATCTGGTTTATGGTTTAACATCAGAGAGAGAGAAAGAGAGAGAGAGATGGTTTAACATCAGAGAGAGAGAGAGATAGAGAGAGAGATCTGGTTTATGGTTTAACATCAGAGAGATAGAGAGAGAGAGAGAGAGAGATGGTTTAACATCAGAGAGATAGAGAGATCTGGTTTATGGTTTAACATCAGAGAGAGAGAAAGAGAGAGAGAGATGGTTTAACATCAGAGAGAGAGAGAGATAGAGAGAGAGATCTGGTTTATGGTTTAACATCAGGGAGAGTGGGGGGGGGGGGAGAGAGAGGAGAGAGAGGGAGAAAGAGGGAGAGAGAGAGAGATGGTTTAACATCAGAGAGAGAGAAAGAGAGAGAGATGGTTTAACATCAGAGAGAGAGAGAGAGAGAGAGAGAGAGATGGTTTAACATCAGAGAGAGAGAGAGAGAGAGAGAGAGAGAGAGAGATGGTTTAACATCAGAGAGAGAGAGAGAGAGAGATGGTTTAACATCAGAGAGAGAGAGATAGAGAGAGAGAGTGATGATTTATGGTTTAACATCAGGGAGAGTGGGGGGGGGGGGGAGAGAGAGAGGAGAGAGAGAGCTTATCAACCACTAACACAAACTAAGTTATGATTTAACTAAACTAGACACAAACCAGGTCATTTTGGGACTTACATAAGATACAAATTTAATTTCATTAATTTGCTAACAAAATGTAAAAACCATGCATATTATTATTCTAACTTATCAAAATTTCACAGAATGAAAGCATGTACTGCCCATTGATCAATCCCCTACCCCACTCCCTAATCAACCCCACCCACTCTCTGATTGGCCCCTCCCACTTCATACCAAAAATCCGCTAAAAAAAATTAAACGAAAATGACAGGACAATTTCAGTTACAATTTTGAAGCAGCATCTGTCTGAAAAGCATCGTAATGAAAACTAATTCATCAAAAACGATTAAATAAAGTGGATCCCCTTGAGAAGAAGAAAAAGGAAATATGAAATAAATATAATTGAATATGATTCTATCTGGATACTTAGATTGAGTCAGCGCAACCTCACCCCCTCTATGTGTTCTTATTTTAAAACTATGTGTCCATATTTTTAAACAATGTGTCCATATTTTAAAACTATGTGTCCATATTTTAAAACTATGTGTCCATATTTTAAAACTATGTGTCCATATTTTAAACAATGTACCCCTATTTTAAAACAATGTACCCCTATTTTAAAACAATGTTTCCTTATCTTAAAATAATGTTTCCCAATTTACAAACAATGTATCCCTATCTTAAAAGAATAAGCCCATATTTTAAACAAATTATCCCTATTTTAAAACAAAGAATGGCAATGTACCCCTATTTTAAAACAATGTGTCCCTATTTTAAAACAATGTTTCCCTATTTTAAAATGTGTCCCTGTCTTAAAACAATGTGCGTCTATTATAAAAACAATGTATATCTATTTTTGCAATAATACTTATACTGGTACTTACATGTATTATATTGAGTGTTCATCATTATCACAGGAATTCTCATTTCTTACTCAAGAAATAAAAAAAAAAATAACAGCAACAAATACATTTATTAACAAACCTGCATCCATGTCAGCTTCTGACAAACATCTACATGCATTAGAAACAAATGTAGCCTTTTTTTATTTTGATTAGAAAGTTAATTTTTATTAAGAACAAAAGATGGCAGGTGGCAGAGGATTTTAAAAACGAGTCCCGAGCGCTCCATGAAGACAACCCTTGGCACTTTGATACCCAGTAAAGGACTTCAAAATGTCTTTAATTCCATTGTCTTTTCAAATTATCAAATACTCTTCTTTATTTTCATGTCCTTTCTGCGATATTTCGTTCATCATTAATTACCTCAATGTGTGCCCTCTATTGTGCTCTGGTGCATTACGCACATGTACTGCATTTCCACGCGACTGCACATAATACAAAGCTTCTGTTAATTTTCTTAGATTTATTTGATATAATTGACACCAATCTTCCATTAGATGAATTAGGTTCGGCAAAAATGGATAATCTACGGTGACATGCTAAGCTTTGTCTTTCACTTTCATGACAAACATGATAAATCGTCTATTAAGTGAATTAAAGGAAGATGGACAGTGTGCAAACTATAAATTATTAGGTATTATGTCATTTCACAGTGAAGTGGCGAAAAATTTATCTCTCCAAACAATGAAATGAAATGGGGATTTAACATCCTACTGTTCTGCTACGAACTGGGCCAATGAAGACGGGCATACGCCATACAGTGTGCTATGAGGGAAAATTTGGCCGGACAGCGGCACTACAGCCTACTCTTATATGTCGAATTCCAACTGTCAAGGAATCTTTTACGCCAATGTGTACACAGGACCTCGGTTTTTCATCCCATCCGAACGACTAGACAGCTGTCCTTGTCACGCCCTCCTTCCTGCATCACTGACAAGGGGTAACCACGCCGTAAAATCTGGATGAACGTTATCGGCCAATGCAGGGATCGAACACCCGACCTCCAGGCTAGCGAGCCAGCGTCTAACCCACTTAGCCGGCGTAACCCACTCCAAACAATGAAAAGTCCTATTTGTATTTATGCAGCAGTGGATAAAGTAATGTAATTTTAAATATCCTGTTTCCAGGCATATGTGTGTCATCAGTGATCTATTGCCAGGGGGGATGTAAAGGGGGGGGGGGGGGAGAGAGGGGAGAGAGAGAGAGAAAAATGGGGTTTAACGTCCACTCGACACAAACTAGGTCATTTCAGGACTAACATATGGTTCAATTTTATTTCAATAATTCGCTTGCGCGTGGGGTCTTTAGCAGTGGGAGGACCCGTAGAAAACCCATGAGTTTGGACAGGCGACCCTACTCCTTGTCACGTACAACAGTGGGAGGAAACCGGAGGACCCGGAGAAACCCCATGAGGTTGGACAGCCGATCCCACTCCTTATCACGTACAACCGGGGAGTCGAAGCCACGCCAGTTGACTCAATGACAGGCCTATTGATACAGCAAGCAGTGCTAACCATTCAGCCATTCACCCCCCCCCCATCCCGAAGAGAGAGAGGAAGGAGGGTGTATTCACTATAAATTACCAAAGTTCATATCCTTAAAAAAGATATGACAGTAATGATCAGTGTCTGCTGATATTCAGGTAAAATGAGAGAGAGAGACAGACAGAGAGAGAGAGAGAGAGAGATTTTCAAATAAATTTTTGGGTCTATGATGAAGTCATAGCATTTTTTAAGACACTGGTAGTAAATTTAAGATATTTCATAGTCATGTTCATTAATACATGTACATGTACCTAGTTTAAAGATACGTTATGTAAGATTTAGATAAAGAGCTGACCATTCTTGCTATAACAGCTCAAAAATAGATAATGTAAAATGAATAATTTGAAAATTTCATTCAAATTACTCTATTGCGAGCGCTGATATTCGCCTTTGAAGTTTTGACAAGATGTGTGCAATAATTTCAACCACCATACTGGCTGTTCGAAGCTAAGTCTCACGCCTCCATTTTTAAATTAAATCAAAATATGCCTGCACCTTTCTAATCTATTTAGTATCGGAGAAATCTGATGCCATTGAGAGTTGATTATGGCCTGGATAAGTTAATTAATGTCTAATTAATAATTTAGATAACATTTCTTGCCTAAAGAAAGACCTGAAATAGGCAGATTTAGCTCTTGCATAATAACGGTTTAATCTACAGTTCATATACATTCCAGTTTTCAATGGCTAAAGAGGGATTTCTAGGGCCAATACTTCAGGTATTCCTGTTTTATCTTTATGAAGAAAAAAACTGATCTTGTCATTTATCGAGCAGGGGTAGGCTGGTGGCAAGTTAGATAGTTAGATAGTTAAATAAAAAATAAAAATTTGAAATGAAAAGTGATTCCAAGGAAATATATTAGGGAATGGAAAATTTGTTCAGGTGTACTACCCTCTTTATAAAAAAAAGGGATTAAAATTAGCAAAGAAAATTAGGTTGATTTGAGCACAGCACTAAACCAATCTAAGGGATGTCTAACCCAACAAAGGACATCTTTGTAATTTATCTATAAACATAACATCATCAGTTATTTTAATTTAATATATATATATAGAGAGAGAGAAGGAGAGAGAGAGAGAGAGAGATAGAGAGAGAGAAATGGGGTTTAACATCCACTTGACACAAACTAGATCATTTCGGAACTAACATATGGTTTAATTTTATTTCAATAATTCACTCCAGTGGACCCGGAGAAAACTCACAAGGTTGTCTGGTTAAAACACAGATCCCTATTTCGTTTCGTTTTTATAGTTCAAAATTTCGTTTTACTTGTCTTTACTACATTTGGATCTGGAAGAGTTGTTATTTAACTCGTGTACTGAATGGTGTCAGCGATAAGCCAATGAAACAGTCTGTTACGGCGAGCTTTAGGCGGGTTTTCCACGGAACTGTGGGTAATCCACTAGTAACATCAATGCTGATTGGTTAATCAAATGTCTGACATCATAGGTCAAAAGTCGGTCTTTTGACCCCTGACGTGACCTATTGCTACAACCGGTCAGATCTTCATGTAGTGTAGGTCATTGAAAGTATAAAAAAAACGAAACGAAATATAGA